AAGAAAATGGAAATCCGGGCCAGCCTATAGCTCAGTAGTTGTGAGAGATAGATCCTACATGGCTGACCATGGTTCAAAACCCATCTCTGATAGGTTGAGAAATACGTCAGATGTGTGTGTGTGTGTGTGTGTGTGTGTGTGTGTGTGTGTGTGTCCAAAATCCTGAGAAGGAAGAATGGAGGAAAAAGGATCAAAGCATGACCACCACCCCCCCCAGGCCAGCGTATGCACACTTTGACAATTTAAAAAAGAAAAAGAAAATTAAAGTCTGCCCTAGAGAAAAATGTCATTATATTCTGATTATAAAGAAACACAAACTCAGTAGAAAATACTTCAAAAATTTTGTAGAAAAATACAATTAAAGATGAGTTTATTTTCATTCAAAAAAGTTTTGAATCCTTGCGTAGTTTTGCATTACACACATTTCCATGAAGTTTTTGAAGACTGCATGAACAAAAAAGCAGAAAGAAAAGATAAAGCAGGTCAGTCGGTGGTGTGGTAGTTAAGCAGCCAGATCCATGTGGCCAACTGCACCATTCAAGTCCCAGACCTAGCAGTTTGAAAACCAGGCTGGGTGTGGCTGCATGTGTACCCAAAATCCAGAAAGGAGGGAGAAATGGAGGAGGAAGGTCTGCAACATGACCATGCCCCATGGGGGATGCTTTCTCACTTTCCCACCCTCTCTCTCTGTCTCTGGCCAGTGAGTACATATGCCCTCTGGTAAATTAAAACAACAAAAAGATAAAAAGCAACTGTGATTGGATCCTAGCTTCTCTGTCACCAAAACTTGGTATATTCTGGCTCTTTTTGTTTACGTTTATTTATTCATTCCGTAAGAGAGAGACAGAAAGGGAGAGGAGGAGAGAAAAAGAGACCAGCTGGATCAGGGTGTGAGCGCATGTGCCGACGTGCTCAGGAGGTCCCAGGACACAGACCAAGGACCTTCCCACGTGGGTCCGGTTGCATTACCACTACACCTCTGCCCAGCCCCTAGCCTGGCTTTTTTAATTTTAGACATTCTGGTAGTTGCATATTGAATTGTGACTTCATTTTTAGATTAATTTATTTAATTTGATTGGTTGAATCAACTGAATTTTCTCTCATGTTTGCATCTTCTATTTATTTATTTATTATGTTTTATTTGACCAGAGAGGGACATAGCAAGAGAGAGCAGGGAAGTGAGAAAGCAAGTCACCAGCCAGATCCAGGACTCGAACCATAGTCAGCCATGTGAGAGTTCAGAGCCCTTAACACATCACCTGCCAGCCCCATGTTTGTATCTTTATGCATTTATTGGCCACATCAGCATTTGCGAAGTACTCGTTCAAATCTTCTTGACCCTGCTTCTCTATTGGGTCATTAGTCTTTCTTGCAACATTTGTGAGAGTTCTGGATATATTCTATACATGAGCTTTTAGCCAACTTGTACATTGCAAATATCTTTCACTTTGTGGCTTACCTTTTTATATGCTCAGTGGTGTTTTTGATAAACAGAGTTCTTTGTTGTAGTTTAATACAATTGTATGATTTTTTTTCTTGTTTTGTTTCTGTTGCCAGAGATATGTGTATTCACTGCAGAGAGAGAGGAGAAAAATCACGCACACACGCACACACCGCCCCAGGGGGCGTGGTCATGCTGAAATGCTTTTTCCTTCACTTCTCCATCCCATCAGGATTTGGGGCATGCATGCACACACACCCAGTATGTTTTTCAGTCTGCCTGGGCTGAGACTCAAACTGTGGTTGTCAAAGTGAGACCCAGTCCCCACGCTCTGATGGTTTTCCTTTATAGAGGTTGCTCATGCTAGCCTGTTTAATAAATCTTGGCCTTCTCAAAGGTCGTAAACATACTCTCTTATGTTTTCTTCTAAAAGCTTTCTTGCTTTACCTCTCACAGGTAGATCTTCCATTCACCCAGAAGTGACCTTCATTGGCATACAATGGACGAGAGTGAGGTTTTCATCTGAGATGTCCCACCACATAGCCAAGGGCCAGCACCACTTCCTGGAAGCTGGCCTCCCCACAGCCCTCTGCTATCACAAACCGGATGGCTGTCTACTTGTGGCTCTCTTTCTGGGTTCTGTTCTGTCTCATTGGTCAATTTGTCTCTCCTTGCACAAATACCACTCTGTATTGACTAATGCACTTTGATGACAAACCTTATATCAGGTATCGAGTTCTCCAGCTTTGCTCTTCAAGATTGTCTTCACCGCTCTTGGCTTTCTGTGTTTCTGTGTAAATTTTAGAATTGGCTTGTCATTCTACTCTAGGAAAAAATATTCTGGAATTTTGATAAGAATAGCATTGAATCTTTAGGTAAATTTAAAGACAATGGGACTCCTTACATTATCAACTTTCCCGATGTGTGGACATCGTATTTTCCCCTTTATTTGGTTATTTTTGTTTTCTTTTTCTCATCTAGATTTTATAGCTGTGCATGTAGAAGTCTTAGATATCCTGCTAGATGTATCTCTAGGTGTTTAATCCTTCATGATGCTACTATACGGTATATCATTTTTAAATTTTAATTGTGGCTGGTCATAGTGTGGACGAGTAAAGGCACAACCACTCTGGAAACTCGGCAGTACCTGCTAGAGCTGAAGTAGGCGAGATCCTCCCTCACGGCCCAGCGGAACCCTCACGGCCCAGCCCTGCCGACACCTTGACCTCAGGCTTCTACCCACCAGCACCGGAAGCCCTAAGTTCCTGCTGTGGGTGCCACCCAGGCCGTGGCTCTGTTACAGCAGGCTTAGGTGACTAACACAGCGGTTCTTTGTCATTTCTAGCTGCTTCCTGTCACACAGCTTCCCTCTTCCTTCACGTGTATGTGCCACTTCCCCAGGCCACCATCAGTCATGGCGGAGGGGCCAGCACCCCAAATGGAAGGAGGAAAAAGATGAAAGGAAAGAGATAGTGGCAAATGAGGGAGAGAGAAATATTTGATCCCTCCTTCTCTGGGTGACCGGACAAGAATTAGGCAAGGAAAAGAGAAGCCAATGAGCATACTAAGTGCCCAGCAGTGAAAATGCGAAGCTCAGGCCAGCAGGTAGCATGGTGGTTAAGGTACTGGCTCCCACATGACTGCAGTTCAAGTCCTGGTCCTGGCAGCCTGAAAATGATGCAAAGTATATGTGCATGTATGCCCAAAATCCCACTAGGAGAAGGGAAGAGAAACGATGGCAGCATGGCCGACCACCTAGGGCAGTGATTCCCTCTTTCTCTGTCTCTGTCTCTGTCTCTGTCTCTGTCTCTTTCCAGTGAATGTACACATCCTAGGGCAAAAATCTAGAAATAAATCAATCAATAAATAAATGTGATGCTCTGAAATGCTGACTCACATGGGAAGGTTCCTGGTTCAAGCCAAGTCTGGGACACCCTGACTGTGCCAGTGACAGGCCTGGCTGAAAGCTGGGTAGGCAACAGCACCAGGAATCTGTTGGGGACGATACATCTTTCTCTCTCTCTAAAGAAATAAACTTTTAAAAAATATATCAAGAGATATAATTATGTGAACAGTGTGTGATTTTAAAAAAAGGAAGAAAGTAAAAAGACTAGAGAGCCCAGACCAGGCGAGTCCTGAGCCGGGCTTCCAGTCTAATAAGAAATCTGGATGGAGCAGACAGTCAGGGTTTGCCCAGCCGGGACCACAGGCCCTATGGGTATAAACTCCCCTCCCCGTGGAGGAGGGACCACAGGACCTGCAGGACTGGAGCAAGTACCTACTTCCAAGTCTGTCCCAAGCACCTGGGCTGTAGGCTGAAGAGTGCAGGGTCCAGATGGCCGAGCCCAGGCAGAGTCCAGGCAGAGATCGCTGTCCCCTCGCTCCTCAGGGCGAGCCCCTGGGACACAGACGCTGTCCTTTCCATGCTGGTCAGGCAGCTGGGCTAGCGTGCTCAGTTACCAACCATGACCAGGTTCCTAATGAAACTCTTCACGGAGGCCAGGGCAGCACTGGCTTTCTGGTGTGCAGCAGCTGTGTGTAGCATTTCCTCTGACTCCAGACGGTACTGGCTCGACCTGGCTCTCAGAAACAATAACAGCTCAGGAACTTGTACAGAAGGGCAAGAATCAGAAACCAGGCAATCTGTGTGGATGGTACTTACTGCCCAAGCCAAGGAGGAACTAGGGTGAGGCAAGGAGAGAGCTCAGAGGGGGGCACTCTTAAAGGAAGCGTTCACACATAAGGCTTGCTGGCCCTGGAGCAAACTAGCATTTTATATTTTTGTCTCTTTATCTGACTGTCCAAGTCCTGGAAGCTAAAGTTTTTGTTCCATTTATTTTTTTATCCATTCAGTAGATATGTTCATCTGGTCGAGTAGGTAAATAGTGAACAGCTATTCACTGAAACCATCCTGTGCAGCCCATTCTGATTGGGAGACAGACATGTTCTTTAAAAAGTGTTACAGGTGGACTTAGACCTAGTCCCTAAGTGCCATCCTAGAGGGTTGTAGATCTACTCATCAAAATAAGAAGGGGGGTGCTGTCGAAGAAGGATGGATGAACTGTATGGACCGCATGCTGTGTGATTCCAGACAGCCTGGAACCAGGGGAATAGGGAAGAGAGTAGAGAGAAGAAATGTGATTTAAAAAAAGAAAAGCCCTTGTGGAAAAGGGAAGGGCAAAGAGATGTCAGCAGAGAAGTCACAGCAGGCACAGGGTCACAGAGGACAAGGGAGGCTTTGGCAGGAAGCCAGCTGGACTGCATGGTGATACTTCAGTTCCAGAAGAAAAGCGCTGGGTCGTGAACAGGGAGCTGGCAAGAGAGAGCAGTTCGGAGATCAACACAGCAATGAGTTTGATGTCCCAGGTAGCCAAAGGCATCAGGGAATACATCTGCCTCCATCTGAGTGTATCTTTTGTAGGACAAGGCAAGATGTGAGTAATACACAACCAAGCTCTAGACTTCTGTCCTCGCCATGTTTAGGTACAGATGAATACAGTTTGGGGAGAGGAAAGAAGAGCAAGCCTTGGGAAGCCCTTACTATGTGCTAGGCAAGGGCTTTTCTTCAACATTGGGGTTCTTCATCTAAAGCATGGATGGCAGGCAGGTACTGCTACCCACGTTTCAGGATGAGAAGGTGAGTCTCAGGCTACGGAGCTGGAAGAGAGGAAGATCCCCCAAGCAGCTGGAGCCTATCTGGACCTGGAGCATCTGCTCCTAGAGGAGGGGTGCACCACCCTCCCACCCCTCCCTGCCCTCTGTAGGTCCTGTGCCAGCTGGAGGAGGGAGGAGCCCAGCAGCCTGAGACCAGTGAGCTCCCTGCAGACACTAGGTGGCGTCAGAGAGGAAGGAGCAGAGGGTGTCTGCCTCCCTGTGTTCAGCTTCCAGCTGAGTCTGCAGAGCAGTGGGGGCCATGGTCCAGTGATCCCTGCAGAGTCCGGAGCTCCTCCCTCAGGTGGGTCACAGGTCTGGTTCTGTTCAGTCCTGATTCTTCCAGTAAGGGCTCCACCTCCCACACCGATGCTGAGAACCTCCCAAAGTGCCTCCACCTAGGGAACGCCCCGGACTGCTTGCCCAGTGGTAATTTGAGCCTGTGCAACTGCCATGCCCAGGGCAGGCAGTCCTGCTTCCATGGAATGTGCTCTCCGTGCCCACTGACCCTTGGTCATTCGGGCTTCAGGCTGCTGACTCTCAGCTGGAACTTGAAGGTAAGAACACGCCTTAAAAGAAATGCTGTACTTAAAGTGCTGTATTTTTTTTTTTTAAATCTTTACTTAGTCATGCTGGTATTTGTCTACTATGTACTTGCTCTATAAGGCCAAATCGAAGCAGACAGTTTCATAGAGGGTTTGGTAAACACTTACTGTCAGAGCTAACTCATAGACCCCGAGAGGGATTCAGGGGAGGTTGGTTCAAGCTAGCATTTACAGCTTCCACCTCTCCCTCCTTCCACTGATCTGGGACCTCATGTAGATCGATGGAAAATGGGGACAAGCTTGCAAGGAAGGTGCGACTATTCAGGAGCTAGGGATCCAAGGTGCCAGGATGTCTTGATGGGATCCGAATAACAGCCCAGGTTCTGAACACTTTGAAATGCAGTGAAGTAGAGGACACAGTAGAACCAGGCTGTCACTGCACCCCAACTCTGGGGCCCCATACAGTCTTACGTGCCCCTCTCCGGTGAATTCCCTTCTCTTTGGCTAGGTAGCCAACAGGTAACCTGCAGCAACACTTCACAGCAGCAGGGACTCAAAATTCACTCTGTCACCAAACCTAAGTTAGTTTGCCCAACACTCAGTTTGCCAATTACAGAGATGACAAATTTGCAAGGACAGAAAAGACTTTCTCAGAGTATACTCAGTGAGGAAAACAAAACCCAAACTTACCTCCCAGGCTAGAGGGAATTAGGGGTTTTTAAGGGCTGGAGAAGGCAGGTATGGTGTGATCGTGGGTTAATTTATCACAGAATCAAGGGATGCAGAACAAAAGGATGAGGTGGCCCCGTCTCCAGCCAAGGCAGCAGGAAGATGGTGGAGTCCTTCCTTTGCTCTCATGGTCAGTCCTTTCCGGTCACATCTTCCTCTCTTCCAGCTCCTTAGCCCAAGACTCACCTTCTCATCATGAAACGTGGTACCTGTCTGCCATTGATGCTTTAGATTAAGCATCATCCATCACCTGATTCCTCTACTTCTGAAAGAAAGCTGAATTGCAGCTCATAGCTGTGACCAGGAGGGACCGTCTCCACTATTATTGATAGTTCTTCTAAAGGCTGGCCATGCAAGTAGACAGAGAGCAGGTGGCTGACTTCAGAGGGTATTACCCTACACCAAGGAAGTTCTGTTAATTCCTTGGGCACCATTACACTGCAAGACAGAGAGCAATGCTAGCAACCAGTTTGGTCAGTCCTAGAGAGGACTATGCAGAACAGGGCTCTGGGTCCCAACTGCCTGTGTGTGACATAAAGCCACCCAGCCCTTCGAGGTGTGATAGGCATGGGCGGTCAGCGTCGTCCTCCACTGGTGCCTTCAGGGCACCTAGCAGGCCATGACTGACCAGTCCTCCTGACTCTTCACAGTCAGTCCAGTGAAATGCAGTGACCATCCACAGCGCGCCTTCAGAGCTGGATGCTGGCTGCAGCGCACAGACCCAGTAGTTGGAGCAGCGTGGACATTAGCGTAGGTAGGACCTCAGTCAGCAACATGTTGGCCATCACTGGTGTCAGGCACTTCAGTAGGAAAAGACCATGAAAAAAGTTTAACGGGGCAGCTGCCATTTGGTCCCCATGAGCCAGGATGCTCCCCAGCTTGGGGAGTCTTTCCTGGGGACCTACACCATACATTTTGTCCAGGAAACAAAGATGACTAGATTACTCCTAATGTCACTGTGATTGCGAATGACCATGTTAATGACTGGACAGGCTATAGCATGTGGGCCCAGAACCTCAACAGGGTCAGTGGACATGATTTAGCTGGCAGGGAGATTTCTCACCCTCTAACAAGAGAAATCTTACCCAACCTGGGGAAATTTCCATTTCAACCCCACTCAAGCCCCTCCACTGGCTTGATTGTTCAAGGAGGCTGAACAGCATCTAGCACTGGCTCTTTAACTCCAGCAATGAAAACAGACATGGTCGTAAGAGTTTTTGTTTACTTCAGCTCCTAAATACTGATACGGAGCCAGTGCAATGGCATTTCTGACAACCCTTGGCTCCTGTAACATCTATCCCACCTGCGCAAGACAGGTAACTACAAAAAGCACACAGTGGCACCTTTAAGCAATCGCGTCTTATTTCCTTTTGTCTTACCCAACCAGGTAATGCCCGGGAACTTTATTGATTGCCAATCCCTGAATTTTGCCAGTATTATTTCCCATTCCCAGGCCATCATAGGTGCTTGAGAGGGGAGAGATAAATCATCACAGGTTATTACTGCACACTGTGTTACATCTACAATTCTCCAGGGAGTCTGCAAATGAGATTCCAGTTTGCAAGACCCACTAGAACTAGCTCTACTATTCAGGGTCTTTATCTTGGAACCCTCTGTAGTCATCAAACTCAAATCTTAGAGCACTTCCATTCCTCACCAGTATCCCATCACAGAGAAGCCTGGTGGCCAGTTCCTCGTGGTCATTACTTGGCTTTCCTGGGCCACACTCTGAGTCAGGGGATGAGCCAGTATCTCTCTCCATCCTCCAAAACTAAAGCACCCCATGGGATAAGCCACCAGCCCATGGGTCCCAGCATACACGCCTCCACCCTCCTCCATGAGGAAGCTGCACTTGGGAGTGGCCCAGCCTATCCTCCAGAGTAGGCAGAGGACTCCCTGTTCAGCCTGGTCTAACTCGCACCTCCCACTCTGTACTCAGTACCCCAGAACAGTGGCCAGAAGACTGCATTTCCAACCCTCCTGATTTCCTTTCACCCTATAGCTTTGGTAAAGACTTTAACAACCCTTTTGGTGTTTTCTGGGCATTTCACACCCTAATCTGAAATACTCAAAGAACGTAGCTAGTCGCCCCCACAAGGAGGCAGCTAGCCAACCTCGGTTCTCCTCACAGCATGCTCACAGTGAGCTTTCTCCTGTCCACAAGGACTAGGCTTTCAGACAAGTTGGAGGTGTCTCCTCTGACTTCCATAGCTCTGCTTTAGCTGTGGATAGGCATCTGTCACAATTCTCCCAGGCCGTAACAGGGACCCACTGCTACCATGACTTTGGGGCCTCCCTCTTCCCAAGGGGCTCCGGGTACATACAGAGTAGATGCTCTCACCCCTCCAGCTTTCCCAGGGATCCTAAAATCATGAGAACCACAGGCATCCGTAAGTGAGCAATACCACCCACACGCACACGAAGAGCCATTCTGAAATTAATGTCACTACAACTGAGTTGTTTAAAGAGCAGAAACTTATGCTCACTGTTCTGGAGGCTGGAAGCCCAAAGTCATGGTGTCGACAGGGTTAGATTCTCCTGAGACCTGTCTCCTTGCCTCTTAGATGGCATCTTCTCCCTGTATCTCTCTGGTCATGCAAACACATCCCTGGTGTCTCTGGGTGTCCTAATCTCCTCTTACAAAGACCCAGTTGGAATGGACTAGGGCCCACCCTCACAGCCTCATTTGAACTTACTGAAGTGCTCTACTGGGGATCATGGCCTCAATATGTGAACCGGGAGGAATACCATTCAGTCCATAATAGTATCCAATGAATGTTTTGTGGTACGTATAATTTCCTATTGCTATCTTTTTTTAGTTTTTTTAGTTTTTTTTTTTTTGAGAGGTTTTCATTATAGGGCGCATGCGCTCGCCAGACAGACAGAGAGAGACATAGAGACAGAAAGCAAGAAATCACCCCCCAGGGGGGATGGTCATGCCACAATCCCTTCTCCTCCATTCTCCTCTTGGGATCTTGGGCACGCACACACACACGCCCAGCATGAGTTTAAGCCACCGGGTCCAGGACGCGAACCACGGTCTACTATGTGGGAGTCCAGTGACATAGCCATTACGCTAACTGCTGGTTCCCTCCTATTGCTATCTTAACAGTGTCACACATCAGGCAGTTTAAAACAGCATGAGTTTATCTCCCACATCTCTAAGTCAGAGCCCTAGCAGATGTTTCTGGGTATATTAGGGACTTTCAAGGCTGTGTTCCTTCCTGGAGACTAGAGACTAATCTCTTTCAAGCTCATTCTGACCGTTGGCAGAATGCTCTCGCACGTAGCTATGGGACTAAGTCCCCATGTTCTTGTTGGCTGTTGACTCGGGGGGACTCGGGGGTCTGTTCTCAGCTTCCAGAGGCTCTGCCTTGGCTCAGTGCTCCCCATTGTCCCAAGCCAGCATTGGAGGGTTGAGTCTTCATGCTTCGAATCCTCCCAGCCTCTTCTGTATCTTGCTCTTTAGCATCTTCTGGCTCCCTTGCCCACTTTCAAGTGCCATTGAAGTGACCTTAGGCCAGCCCAGATAATCCAGGACAACCTCATTGCCTGGAGAGTCCTTAACCTTAATTGCACTTGCAAAGTCCCTTTGTCATGCAGTGCCACATATTAGAGATCAGAATGTGTGTCTTTGTTAGCCATGGTTCTGCCAATGACCACAATAAACATTTCAAAAAGACATAGAGGGACCAGCAGTTGGCTTAATGGCTATGTCACTGGACTCCCATGTAGTCAATCACGGTTCGAGTCCCAGGCCCAGTGGCTTAAACTCATGCTGTGCATGTGCATGTGTGCCCAAGATCCCTAGAAGAGAAGGGAGGAGAAGGGTTTGTGGTGTGGCCAACCCCCCGGGGGGTGATTTCTTGCTTTCTGTCTCTCTTTCTGGTGAGTGCATGCACCCTATAGCCAAAACTTCTCCAAAGGAAAAAAAAGAAAAGACAAATAATTCTTGTGTGATGGATTTTTACCTTGTACATTTGGGCTTATTTCAAATTCTCTTAAATATACACATTTATGCTCACTACAGGGCACTTTTTAAGAAGGAATGTGACACTCGTAGGCAGACGTTGGCTGCAATTCTACCAATCAGATGGCTCTTGTCTTCTTCACATTTGTAAGGAGGTTTATTCCTCCTTAATATCATCATGTGTGAATTAATAGAAGAGTCTGTGAAGGACTTGACATAGAAGGCCTACAGAAAATGTTAGTTCTCTTACATCTTCTCTTGAAGTTGACCACACCGTGGTATTCTTCAAGCTCCTTCCTTGGACACATTATAAATATAGCTTTTTTTTTTTTTTTGGAGAAGTTTTAGCAAGAGGGGGGGGGCACACCCCTTAAAAGAAAGTTTTAGCTATAGGGTGCGTGCACACACCTGAAAGAGAGAGAGAGAGACAGAGAGACAAAAAGCAAGAAATTACTCCCCAGGGGGGATGGCCACACCACAATCCCTTCTCCTCCATTCTCTTCTCAGGATCTTGAGCACACATGCACACATGCCCGGCGTGAGTTTAAACCACCAGGTCTGGGACTCAAACCACAATTGACTACATGGGAGTCCAGTGACATAGCCATTATGCCATCTGCTGGTCCCACTTCTTCTTATATTTGAAATTTTTTCAGAAATATTTTGTCTTTCCCTTTCTGAAAACATAGTCTCCATCCTAAAGTACTGGACTCTCTCTGAGAGCAGAAGCCACTGGAAGACTAGCATCAGTAAGCTGGTCATCCAGATTTCTCATCCAGTCCATGAAGCAGTGGGGCCAGATTCTTTTACTTAATTTCCAACAATCCTTTACTGATAAGACTCCTGTCAACTCTAAAGTTCTAATGCTCATATTATGCAAGAATTAAAAAGAGTTAATATTCATAAGACAGCTGGTTCAGCGCATGGCGAATTAGAGGGTTCCATAAATGTTAGCTTTGAAATATTATCTCCTCATTATTTATAATAGGATCAAATGTCCTGTGGAGTCCCAGTAGCAAATTATTCTCAATAGTGATTGCTTTCCTCTTTTTAAAAAAACCTTCTCAAACAACAACAAAAACAAATGCAAAAATTGGGCAAGAGATTGGAACAGACATTTCTCCAAAACTATACAAGTGACTGATAGCACATGGGGAGATGCTCAGCGTCATTCATTGCATGGTTTGGATAATGGTTCGTCCCTCAAAGGTTTATGTTCTGGAAGCTTGATCTCAAGTATAATGGCTTTGGGAGGTGGCCCAAAAGGGAGGGCATCATCAAGACAGTTGAAGGCATGGGAGGGACAAACAGAGGGAGTGGGAATTCTGTTTTCTCTTTCTCTGCATGTCTCTTCTGACCTGACTGCTCCCCTCAGCCATACTGTGATATTGCGATATAGCACCAGGGTCTGGCCAGAGGCCAGCCTGATACTCTTGAACTTTTCAGCCACCAGAATCACAAGACAAATATGCCTCCATACTTTGTAAATCACCCTAACACAATAACGAATTAAGACATTAGTCTTTAGGAAAAAGTAAATCAAAACCACACTCAGATATCACCTCATATGCATTACAATGACTATTATCAATATGAAACAAATTATAAAAAAGAAAGTAGCAAGAGTTGGTGATACTTTGGAGAAATTGAATTCTCTGTGCACTATTGGTGGGAATAAAAATGGTACAACTGCTGTGGAAAATGATATGGCAGTTCCTCAAAAAATTAAGCATAGAAGTGCCATATAATCCAGCAATTCTACTTGTGAGTGTATCCCCAAAAGAACTGACAGTAGAAATTCAAAGAGAAATTTGTACACGCATGTTCATAGCAACATGGTTCACAATAGCCAAGAGGTTGAAACAACCCATGTGTCCATGGATGAATGGATGCATAAACAAAACATGGTATATGCCTACATGGAATATTATTCAGCTTTAGGAAGGGAGGATATTCTGACTCATGCTACAACATGGATGAACCTTGAAGATACTAATCTAAGTAAAATAGACTGGATCCAAAAGAACAAGACTTGTATAATTCTTTTCATATAGAGTATCTAGAATCCACAGAGAACAGAATTAGAATAGTGGTGAGAATTGGGAGTTCTCTTAGCATGTATATTCAAGAAGTCCATGTCCTTACCAGAAAGCTCTCTGAGTGAATGGGTTGCTGTTATATGACGTACAGGCTAAAAACAGAAGGAGATCCTAGAGTAAGATAAAGCTGCAGATATTCCATGCAAGTTCAAAGGCTGAGCAAGAGCAGCTAACAACTGCACAGTATGGATTACCACTAATGCAGAGTCTAAGTAAATCACAGAATCAGTTGGACAAAAGTCATAGTGTGATGAAAACCACACAGACTTAGAAGGACCACAAACAGAATTAGAGAAAACTGGGCTGGGTAAAAAGCAGCTGAAGTATAAAGCAGATCATTGAAGGATCCTTTGGTAAGTCAGAGAAAATGTGGAAAATATTCTCAGAGATGCTTGAGCTGACTGCAGTGGAAGGTATGAATTACAGACAGGAACAGGTAGAGCTTCTCAGCACCAGGTAAACAAACTGGCTTTAAGAAGAAAAAGAGGAGTGAGAGAAAGAAGCACTTTCTTACGATGCCCTAGAAGACTGCTGGTGTGGGAAATCAAGATCTTCACTGCAGTGGGACCAGGCACTCGAACAAGTTTTGGATCCCCATAGTAAGGACAGTTGTTTGCAGAGATGGAAGATAGAAGGGAGGCAATTGAAGTTTCCTTCCCACTGCCATCTTGTCCAATTCAGAGTCTCCTGAAGAACTTGAACATCTACAGAATCTCTTAATGAGAAAGCTAGCTTGGAAACAACTGGGAAGAATCTGAAGAGTCACTTTGGACAGTGGCTTATGGATTGTGTGGTAATGAGAGATCAGACAACAAGGGATCCAGGAGCTTTGGGTTTGTCACATGAGCAACTGATGAGGAAGCAGAAGAAGCCATAAATGCAAGACGGCACAGGGTGGATGAAAGAGTGGTAGAACCACAGAGAGCTGCCTCAGGAGAAGACTCTCAGACCACATGCCCGGTGAACCATGAAAAATATCTTTGTTGATGGTATTACAGAGACTGTGAAGAACATCAACTAGAAGGTTATTTTCCATAGCATGGAAAACTTGACTGAAATTATGACCCCCCCTCAAGGCAGTGCCAAAAGGAGGTGCTTTGCTTTCATAACATTTGGTGACATAACTCCGTGGATAAGACTGCCATTCAGAAACACCATCTAGTTAATGGCCATTGCTATGGAGGAAGCAAAGTCCCCTGGAGGCCAGCCCTGGATGGCTTTCCAGCCCAAGAGGTCAAAGTGGAAACTGTGGTGATCTGGAGGTGGTATTGGTGCAGTGACAATTCAGTCATGGAGGAAACTTCAGGGACCATGATGGCCTTGGAGGCAGCTATGGTGATGGATTCGGTGGCAGTGGAGATGGTTCTGATGGATTTGGTAACGATGGGAGCATTTTTGGAAGCGGTGAGAGCTATGATAATTTTAGCAAGTCAAATATCAACCTTCAAGTTTTGGATCCATAAAGGGAAGAAACTTCGGAAGTGAAAGCTGTGGTCTCTATGGTGGTAGAGGCCAATATTGTGACAAACTATGAAACCAAGGAGACTATGGTGATACCAGCAGCAGTAGTTATGGGAGTGGCAGAATTCATAGTAGCCACCCCTTAATCCACACTGGGAACCCTACAAAGACTGTTTTTTGTATAAATACATATGATTAAGCCAAATTTATAAATTAGGCACAGTAAGAAATGAAAAACAAGAACTAAAAATAAAGTAATTATAGCAGTATATAAGAAGTCTTCAAAAATTCATGGGAGATGTATATTATGGAAAAAATACAGATAGATTTCAAAATTTTCTTGCACTAAAACAAACTTTAATTCCAATTTTCCATGAATTTGTGAAGTCATCTACTCCCCATACTGTAATAAAAGTTCATGAATGTTGACTGTATCATATGTCTTCCTATACTGTGCTCACCCCCTTCCTGATATGAGATTCAATGCCTATGTGATGACAGGTAGAATGGACCAGGGGCCAATGGGAGACAGTGTTTAATGGGTACAGTTTCCGTTCAGGAAGATGGAAATTTCCGGAAATGGAAGGTGTTGCTAGGTTGGCAGCAGTGTAAATGTACTTAGTAACACTGAACTGAAAGTGCACTTGGAAATGGCAACGGTGATCACTTTATGTTGTGTTTATTTTCCACGATTCTTCACAAATCCCTTTTGTCTACCTACAGGGCTCCCCACCTCAACTCCAGACACTATGGCCCTGACCGCAGAGTTGGGGAGGCAGACACAGCTGAAAGAGGTGGCGGGCAACCCACTCGAGCCTGCCACGGGGGACAACTGGAGTCAGATCCAGAGCTTTCAGGCCAAGCCCGACGACCTCCTCATCTGCACCTACCCGAAGTCAGGTGCCCATGGGCAGAGGACCACAAAGACAGGCTCGCTGTGCCAGTCCGGGCTTCTCGCCTAGGTGGGAGATAGGTGGGTCCCTGCTCCGTGGCCAGTGGCTCTCGCTAGCTCACTCACTCAGGACACATCCCCGGAGGACACGCTCCGAGCCACACTGTGCACTGCCCTTGGCGATTCCAGCCTCGGCCCTGCTGCTCCACCCTCGTCCTCCCTGCAGGTGTCCAGGCTGCCGGATCCTGGCACGGGGGACACTGAAACTAAGGCCATCTCCTGTCACCCTGGTTTACTGGGGACACTCGGGAAAGACCATCTAATAGGTTTCTGCCCCTCTCCCTTCCCTCTGGGCCTCAGGCACAACGTGGATTCAGGAAATCGTGGACATGATAGAACAGGAAGGGGACGTGGAGAAGTGCCGGCGCTCCATCATCCAGCACCGCCACCCTTTCATCGAGTGGGCGCGGCCGCCACAGCCCTCGGGTGAGCGCCCTCTACAGGCCGCCTCCTCGCCTGTCTCTGTCCTCCACTTTTCTCCCCTTTGTCCTCTCTCTCACTCTCATTCTTATTGACATGTTTCCTCCATTTTTCTTCTGCTCCTCCTCTTTCTACATATTATCTAAGATGATTTGCCAGAAAGTGAATCGCCAAGTGAGGATTTATGCTAGGGCCTGGTTATGCAGTATTTCCAACTTGTACCCCTCCGGTCCTGTGTCACTGTAGAACACACAGCGGAGAGGGAAGGCCGTGTGTGAGCAATTCACAGCCTTCTTCTCTCCATAGTCACCCCTGCGCAGTCTCAGTGCAGCCGGGGAGGGCATCATAATTCACACACACACACACACACACAAACAGAAATAATGGACATACACACACACTAGATTCACACACCAATGCACAGATATGGACATATGCACACACAATTTTATGCATGTTACATACACAGTAATACATATGCACAAACACAGTGCACATGTATACACATGTGTGTACACGTGTAGATATAGACACATGCACATACACACACAATACGAGATGCATTTGAGACTGTTTCTTCTGTTCACTAGAGATGCTTTTCAAGTAGTGCTTACACTGCAAGTTTTTCTCTTCACAGCAAAAAGCAAAGCTTAGGAAGACAGCCAGAAGGGAAGAATACACACACACACACACACACGCACACACACACACAGGTTCCGGGTGCCTGGCAGCTGCAAAGCATTCTGCAGAACAAGGATAAGAGAACGGCCTTCTTCCCCCAAGTCTCAGCACTGCAGATATCCAGGCAGTAGAACATCGGGGCAGCCAGCAGGGAGCACGGTGGGGATTCTGTCAGTGAGGCTGTGGTGTTCAGCTGTGGACCAGAAGACACTGCTGACAGAGGCCTGACATGTCCCCACAAATGCCCTGAAGTAGGACGTCCGTGATCTGACGTACAGAGGGCACTCACTCATAACCTGGGGAAGGGCTTGGCTCTAAGTCAGGATGTCCTAGAGGCTTTCTGCTTCTCCTAGGATCCCACCTACCCAAGCCCTGAGCTCCTCCAGCTTCTGCGGTTCCTGGCTGTGGAGGTGACTGGGCTTTGCAACCCAGCAGCTGACCACTCTGTAGTGTTCTGACCCCGTGCACGAGCTGCCCTTGCCTGCATGGCTGTGACCCCACTCCTGGCTGTCAGAGCCGTCTATCTTGCTGTCCGACCTCGAGCAGCTCAGGTGTAACGGTCAAGGGCAACCAGGATTTAAGTCGTGCCCCCCATAACTCCCCATACCTCCAGCAAGTTACTCTACCTATTTCCTCAGCTGCAACCTGCCCGTAGAATTAATGCCTTCCTCAAAAGGTGGTGACATGGAAAATGGTTACACCTCCAGGCCCGGTCCTTGCCCCAGGGCCCGTGTGCTCCCTGGACGATTCCAGTCCTTTGTGTGATCGTACTCCTACATCCTGCCCTGCCACATCATCTTACCGATGACAGTTTAGGAGATCAAATAGAAAAGGCCTTAGCAAGATTTTTTTTTTAATTGCTAGGAGGGTGCGTGCAATAGCCAGACTGGATAGCAGGGAGAGAAAGCAACCCCCAATGGGACATAGTCATGCCGCAATTCTTCTTCCCTCTATTTCTCCTCCCATTAGGGTTTTAAACACACGAACAGCACTCCCAGGGTGTTTTCCAAGCTGCCAGGTCAGGGCTTGGATCACAGTCAGCCATGTGGGACCCAGTTCCCAATGTGCAGCCCTTAACCACTGCGCTATGGGGCCAGCCCTAAGCAAGATTTTACATGTTATTCTTAGCAGTGAAAGCAGAGTGTCCAGTCAGTAATTCAGCATGGAAAACAACATAGAGCAACCCCACATCAACCCCAGCTACTGTACAATCTGAGTCAGGATGAGTCCCAGTCACCCAGCCTGGCATGTCACATGGAGGCCAAGACAGCTCTGTAAGAACCAAGGTACTCTGTTCATGCAGGTAACAAGCCATCCCGGCTTTATGATCTTCCCAGCCACAGACAGACATGCTGGGTGGGAAGCTGTGCGATGGTTTATTTCAGAGTAGATAACCCCAGCCAACAGAGGTGAGGTGTCACCCAGAGAAGGACGGAGGCTGCTTACGTAGACTAACTGGTGTCAGGCAAGGGCCCAACCACCCTCAGTAGGCTCTGGAATAGAAAGATGGCACTGGACAATGGACAAGCTTGTGCCCTGCAGGGTCAGTGTCCCCCACTCCCCACCCTCCACCTGAGTTCTTTTCTGCCTTCCTATGACTCCCAGCTACAGAGGCAGTGCATATGGTGGCACACGTACCCCAGGGAGAATAGCTTTGGAAAGACTTTGAAAAGACTCTTTGCATGTGTGTGTGTGTGTGTGTGTGTGTGTGTGTGTGTGGTGGGGAGGAGTTACTTGTGCAGAGGTGAAATCTAGGACGGACACAGTCAGTCTAACAAACATTTATACTATGGACCCTGTGCTGCTTGTCACAAGACCTTATAACTCCACTTGCCCTCAGTCAGGACCCCCTAAGTTAAGGTCCCACAGATAGATACTGCAAATAGCACCACGCTGTCTTAGTCCACTCTTGGGATGCTTACAGTAATACCCAAGGCAGGGTGATTTGTAAATAGAGGTTTATTTGATTCTGGTAGATCGGAAGTCCAAAGGCATGAGTCTAGCATGAGGCAGTCTACAACACGGCCTGGCTGACAGAAGCAGAGAGTGGTGGGCACATGCAGAGAGCATGGTCTGTGTTTCATGTAGGTCTGTCTCATTTCCTCTCTATATAAACCCACCAGAATGCACTCACGTGGGCTATGGCCGAACACCCACTCACCAATCTCCTCTCAAAAGACCCTCTTCAACACAATAATAGGATCAAGTTTTAAGTACCCTAAATACCATTACAGTGGCCCAACACATGAGTTTGGGGGGACATATTCAAATTGTGGCATGTAATGAAGCACTGTAATTAGTGGAGTGATTGCACCTGTATTTATAAAAGACAACATGGGTGGATTTCATCACACAAAGCCACAAACCTACAGAATCTCTTTCTGCTGTGGGGGTTCTTTGGAGAAAGTCCAGAGTTGACAATGGGCCATACCTCCCAGCAGGGCTGGTCCCAGTGGAGGAAGGTTCTTCCTAGTATCAACAGGGGGGATGACTGTGAACCATACGAGGACTGTGAAGACATCCCAATAAAGAGATATAGACCTGTTCAGACACTGGATGGCCACTGTCTGCAGGGCATTAAATCAGATGTGACAGGAAAGCTGAGCACCACTGATATCAGGAAGGAATAGACAAGCTAAAAACCACACTTCCTGCCAGGTTTCCTGGGCCCTGCTTCAGGTGTGGACTAACACTCTAGCTCCATCTGGAACCTTCCCTTCTAGCCTTTCTATCCACTACCGTTTCTCGTGGTTTTCCTCTCCTTCTTTCTCTGTACTGTGTCTCTTTAGTTCTGCCACTGTTTTCGTTTTAGTTATGTGTTTCCTGATATTTAATCCTATTAGTTGTGTGTTTTTACTTTTAGAAACTTTACAGATCTTCCCAGTCTTTTTGGGAGTCTCTAGTTCCTTGCTCATGTTTTCAATGTTGTCTTTCTTTCTTTTGTACAGTTTAAACATAGTAATATGTCCAAGAGCTAAGGTCCTGGACGTTCGATTCCCCTACGTGCTTTCTAAGCCTTTCTCGTGGGACTTGCTTCTTGTTTGTTTGGAGATTTGCATTATGATCTCCTTCCCCTCATTCTCCTCTTGCACCTGCACTGGAGCATTTTTCTTCTAATACACCTAAAGTTCATTTCTGGCCCAGGCAGGTGGTGTGATTTCAAGTCCACGCAGGTGGGATGACAGCACTGTGGTTCTGAGTTCTCCGGGAAGCCCATTTTCATGCACCCAGACTTAAGGAAAAGAACAAAAAAATCACCCTAGCTCCGTTTGCCAGTAAATGAAGTTTTTCTGTCTCACACTTACATTGAAGTAATGGACATAGATCCTGTCTGAGCTTTACACCTCACAGAAGCCAAGTCTAGGGCTTCCCCCATAGCACAACGTCAATCCCTGCACATAGGGAGTTGGATCCCATGCGGCCCACTGCCGTTCAAATCCCACCCCTGGCAGCTTGAAAAGTACGTGTGCAGGTGTGTCCAGGAATCTGACTGGGTGGAGAAATGGAGGACAGGGGCTGTGGTTTTCCCATGCCCCCTTCTCCCCTGAACCAGGGACTGGGGGTCCAGGGGAAGGAGACCAGTTCAGGGCAGCTAATGGCCCACCTCCCTCACCTCTCTATCCTGCAGATTCCTCTTACCTCATTTCTTGGACGAGGGGGTCTTGTTTTCTTGCGAGCCTGGTTTTGCCTTTAAGGGGTGTGTATTTTCCTCAGACTTGGTTACAACAGGAGAGGTCTTGATAATGCTCAGGCCACCCTGGCACCAGCAGCGGTAACGTCCGAAAAGACTCCTGAAGAGGGAGCAGGACTGACAAGAGCATAGGGAGGGTACCTGTGCACACTCAGGGGCCGGGGCGGCAGCACCAGCGTGTATGAGTAGGAGATAAGGCAGACGCTGTTTTGCAGGCCTGGCCAAGGCATTTGAACTTCAGAAACTTTTAAAGGTGATTTTCAACTTTTCTTTTTACATAAGAATGGTTTTTTATTTTAGAAAATATTACAGAAACTGTATGATCCAATTCCTGTTCTGAGCATATTTCCAAGAGAATTGATAAGGTGGTCTCAAACCGCTCTCTGTATGTCCACAATCACAGTAGCGTTATTCTCAACAGCCAAAAGGTAGAAGCAACCTACTGTTCACTGAAGGACGAATGGTTAAACAGAAGTGGTCTATATACACAGTGGAATCTCACTGGGCCTCAAAAAGAAAGAGAATTCTGACACATTATAACATGGGTGAACCCAAGGACATTATGCCCAGTGAAATAAGTGAGGCACAGAGAGACAAATACTGTGGGATTCCATGCAGTTCCTGGTGTAGTCAAGTTTGCAGGGGCAGAAAGCTGAATGGTGGCTGCCAGTGGCTGGGAGGAGGGGAAGGAGGAAATAGTGTTTAATAGGTGTGGGGTTCCAGTTGTAGAAAATGAAGGGTGTTGACTGAATGGTGGTGAATTGTACAGTGTGAATGTACTTACCGCTGCTGAACTGTGGCACTAAGATGGTACATTTAGGGACCAGCAGATGGCATAATGGTTACATCACTGGACTCCCACACAGTCAACCACAGTTCAAGCTTTGGAACTGGCAGCTTAAAACTCACACCAGGCATGTGTGTGTGCATGCCCAAAATCCCAAGAGGAGAGTAGAGAAGGGATTGCTGTGTGGCCATCCCCCTGGGGAGTGATTTCTCCCTTTCTGTCTCTCTGTCTCTCCAGCGAGTACACAGCAACATTTTCTCTAAGAAAGAAAGAAAAGTTACTGGGGAGTCTGAACATCTAAAATAAATAAAATCAAAGTTGATCAGAATAAAACCTACCCCCTCATTAGTACAACATGTGTACACATGCACGTATGCACACACAGGGCCTGGGGAGCACAGGTGGGAAGCTGAGTATCAGGAAAAAAACAAGGTTTCCAACCAGAGTCATCCCAGGATCTGCTGCTCAAAAGCTGGGAGGGTCTGAGTCTCGGGGGCCCCTTGCACTTGGTGTTGTTGACCAGAGCCTCAACTCCTCACCTACTGCCTCCCACCAGGGGGAATGCTCAGTCTTCGTCTTCCTCCTCAGGCTGGGAGAACCACCAGCCACAGTAGACAGAGGCCCACCAATCCCGCTGATGGCACAGAGAGGGCAGTCTGCACTCATTACCTTCCTGGCTCCGGCCTCGGGTGCAGGAGCAGCACAATGCTCTCTGATGCTGGGCCACACGGGAAGGTCCCGGGTTGTGTCCCAAGCTCTCTCTGTGCACACCTGTGTGCACCCTGTCCCAGTCATCCAGGCTGGTGAGGCTGAGGGTGGATCATGGGTGTCAGGCATATGTGTCTCAGTTATTCTCTCTCCCTCTTTCATGGAAAACCTAAATAACCTTCTTTGAAAAACTCATAGCATGGTCACAGCACTTCCACAATGAGCAGCAGAGAGAGAAAAGCACCTCTACCACGAGTCCCTTGCTGCCCTGTGTCCATCTTTGGAAAACAAGATGCTAATAGGAGAGGGTCTGCCTCCTCTGACAGCTCAGGTCAGGGCTTAGGGGGCCTTGGGTGAGGTGCTAAGGACCCAGTCACCCTCTAGGTCTACCACGTCAGAGAGGGTGCTTCAGAACACAATTACATGGTGAAAATTAAGTTTATTATCAGTCCTATTTCCAGTTTATTAAAATACCCTCTTCCATTTGACCAGGCTTCCTGGTCTTCAAATGGGTTTTTCCTCAACCACTCTGTTAGGATCCAAACTCGAGAGCGCCCCCTAGCAGTAGTTGTTCACTCTGGATCTGTGGAGCTATCCTAGCTATCAGCATGGACTGGACTCTGCTTCCCTGGCTCTGTTTGCCCAAGCGCTACTGTGGGAGCTCCTTAGAGAAAAGGCCTGTTCTTTCCCTCTGACCTCAGTGAGTACTGTGATTGCAGAGCAAGTGCCCAATAAGGGTTTTAAGCGAGAAAGTGGAAATCATGGCTCACGTCAGCAAGTGTATTTATGCTTTTAGAGGTTACACACGTGATTAGACTCAGGCGAGGCACAGAGGTGACCCACAGTCTGCACACAGAGAGGAAAGAGAGGCCTGCTCTCTGGTCCTGCCTGGCTCTGCCTCTACAAGATGTTATTTGTCCTTTCTCAGCTTCTGTCTCCCTTTTAAAGTGACAGAGTTAGTTGACTCTAAGTGCCTCTCCAGTTCTCAAGTTGTGTCATTCTATGAAAGTAAAGGTAATATCAATAATCCCATCATAAAATTCCAAAAGAAAATCAAGAAACAATACAGGCAGGTGATGGGATGTTCTGAACAGAGCCTGGAGGAGAAGTTCCCACACAGCACTTCTTCTGTGCAAATGTTTCCTCTTGAATTATTTTAAAGGTGTGGACAAAGCCAATGCGATGCCCTCACCCCGAACCCTAAGGACTCACCTTCCCACTCAGCTGTTGCCTCCATCATTCTGGGACAAAAACTGCAAGGTAAGACAGCAACAGTTCCCCCATGGTGAAGAGGAGTAATCCCATGAAGACCAGTCCAGATCCCAACCCAGAACATGAGTCCTCACCTGCAGTCTTGAGGACTACTGTATTGAGAATTTTCAGTCTGCTGTATTGAGAATTTTCTCAGCAGTAGGAGTCAGTGTAAAGTTCTGTACTTTGTAGGAGTTTCACCTTAACAGTGTTAAATACAACACGCAGACAGAATCCAGTCTGAGTGTCTAGAGAGAACTAGAGACAAGGGAGGCAGCAAGTGTCATCAGCACTTTCAATAAGTCTGTCTACAAAAGGAAGGGGACAGGACAGTGGTCCTTGACAGAGACCATGGAAAATTTCCTGAATAGGTCAGTGGGAGAGAGGGGAGAAAAAAGAATGTTCTTGAGAGAACCTTGACCTCAGCATCTGGTGGACTCTGGATTTCATGTCTTGCTTATTTTGGAACTTTATGGTGGTACATCCAGGGCCAGTAAGTTCCTGCAGGTGGAGGGCACTGGAACAAATTCACTAAATGAACAAGGGATGAAGAAGAGTGAGGTGAGTGGAGCCAGGTACAAGCTGAGCTGCCAACCTTGCTAAGAAAGTGGGCACTGTTTCTCCTCAGAGGTGGGAATGAAGGTAAAACAAGGGTGAGATCATTCCTTAAGAGGGGACAGGAGCACATTTGGGGATCTCACACCCAATGACTTGAGATCTTTATGTAAAGTTGGATAAGGGGACAAGAAATTCTATTTTCAAGATCACGGCAATCTAGATATCCAGACACCTTTTGTGTAAAATACCTATAATGCTGCATAACATATCACAAATTCTCTTTTAAATGCACAACTGAGATCAAATAGAGTAAAAACAGTTCCTAAATTCCAAAAATAAAGAGAGAACTGAAACTAGAGGGATAAATTGAGGACAGAGCTGTTCTGGGGGAATCTAAAGACCTGGATAATCCAGCAATTTGAGCTGTAGTGGCTGCACAGGAACATGGTCACAGCCTAGAACACAAGGCACCAGGAAAGGGAGAACCCATAGCTGGACTCACTGAAAGCTGAATCCTCAATGGACATGGGGAGGCAAAGGCAGAAAAAAGGAAACCTCTGTCTTAACCTGGGTTCAAAGTTCCCTTGAGAATATGCAGCCTCAGGCCTCCTTTCTCAAGTATTTGAGAGTCAAATACGCACTCCTTGCATTGTCTAAGAAACCAAAAACTCAGAAATCAGTGAAAGATATTCTCTATTGCAGTGTCTTCAGGATGCCTGGTAAAAGCCAACACCGCTCATCTCAGGAAGGACATAGATTCAACTCCAGTCCCATGCAATTCCCACTTGAGTTCAACTTCCCACATCAAGTGTGTGTATATATATATAAATATATATAAATATACATTTATACATATATATACACACACACACACACACACATATATATATATATATATATAATTTCCAGAGGGCGTGTGCTCCCCAGAGAGAGACAGTGAGAAAAAAACCTACATTTCCTCATCTTGTCAGAATTTGGGGCAAGCATGTGTGCATACATGTGTTTTTCAAGCCTCTGGGGTTGCAATTTGAACCAGTCAGCCATATGGGATTCAGCTCCCAATGCACAGAGCTTAACCACTGTACAAGAGGGCCAGTTCTTTTAGAAACAGAACTGGTAAATAAAAAAATAGAGTTTCTATAAATATATATATACACGATCATTGAATTTAAAAACTCAAGAATAGGGAACCAGCAGTTAGCGTAATGGCTATGTTGCTGGACTCCCACGTAGTCGACCGCAGTTCGCGTCCCAGACCCAGTGGCTTAAAACTCACTCCGGGCGCGTGTGCGTGCATGCCCAAGATCCCGAGAGAAGAATGGAGGAGAAGGGATTGTGGCGTGACCATCCTCCCTGGGGGGTGATTTCACGCTTTCTGTCTCTATGTCTCTCTCTGTCTGGCGAGCGCACACACCCTATAGCGAAAAAATATCGCAAAAAAAAAAAAAAAAACTCAAGAATCTAATGTGCAAAATAGGTACAACTGAATAGAAGATTCTCTACTTTTTAATAGATTTAGTAGAATAAGAAACATGAGAAGAAACAAAAAGAAGATTAATAAAATGATCATTAAGCAGCAATGAAGTGAAAAATAATCCAAAGTTGAAAAGTTTCAGGAAGCAGGTCTATCTGTAGAAATAAGCAATTTTTAAACATTCTTTTTTTTTTTTGAGAGGATTTTTTTTCCTGTAGGGCGTGTACGCTTGCCACAAAGACAGAGAAATACACAGAGGCAGAAAGTGAGAAATCACCCTCCCAGGTGGGCTGGCCATTCCACAATCCCTTCTCCTCCATTTTCCTCTCAGGATCTTGAACACACATACCCACATGCCAGGCATGAGTTTAAGCCACCAGGTCCAGGACTCGAATCGCGGTCAACTACTTGGGAGTTAGTGACATATCTATTACTCCAACTGCTGGTCCCTACACATTCTTAATTTGTGCTTGGCAGCTTGGTAAATTGAAGAGCAGAAGATGAGTGTTAAAACTTAGAATACAGTTGACAGAGTAAATACATTCACAAGCAGGATTTCTCAGCTTCTTCAATTGCTTTAAAGGGACCAGGAACTTGCTTTCCTCAGTCATGGACAGACAAACAGACACAAAAATGACTGTCATGAGGAAGACACACATGTTCACAGACTAGAATCAGGAAGCAAAGTATACCATGCAGAGCCGCACAGAAAAGCATAGGGTCAGCCAGGAGCCAGAGGGGGTGAGGGGAAAACGTGAGCAGGAATCTATATTTGATTTCTACATGAAGGAACTGAAAAGGCAGAGTGAGTGAGTTTAAGGCAAGCCAGTCTGGATAATCCCATCAGGCTTGGGGTGCAGGATCTATGCTGGCTATCGGGCCCCAGGCCTGGACAAATAAGGCAGGGGGATGGTGGACCAGGGTGTTATAGCCCCATGGAGGAGGTGGTTGTGGTGTGGGTACAGGTTGATTGCTTTGCATATCCATCTATATAAAGGGACAGCCCCTCTGAGCTCAACAAGGCCTCAGAAAGTCAGAGCATCAGAGTATAGGCTATGAAAGACAGTTAATCCAACACTACTGATAGATTGGACTGTAAAATTCTTTCCTGGGTATGGGAGCAGGGGGACTCCTCTGTGCATTGTAGGGTATGGAGCACATCCTTGGCCTCTGCTCATTAGAAACTAGTAGCACCAACACCCCCAGTTATAATAACCAAAACTGTCTCCAGACTGACAAAGGACCCTAGTGACCAAAACAGGCAAAATGATCATCAATTGTTTTAAAGCAAAAACCAATACAGCACTGAAATAGCTCATCATGGGGGCCAGCAGGTGGCATAGTGGTTAAGATGCTGAACTCTAACATGACCAACCACAGTTGCAAGTCTCAGACCTGGCTTCTTAAAAATCACATCAGGCACATGTGCATGCAAGCTCGCCCAAAATCCCAAGAGAAGAATGGAGAATAATATCAATTGAATTAACCAACTCTAGAAAAAAATAATTAATGTGGTTTATTTCTAAGTATGAATATGAGGAACCCACCTGGAGAATGACAAACATGGTCTTGGGGTGCTGAGATACAGTGGTTCCTTTTATATAGCTTTGAAAACAGAATAGTTGTCTATCAGCATAAGGAGTCTTTTACAGTGGTCTGGTCCAAAAAGGTGGGATATCTGAGTCAAAGCTTGTAGGTTTTAGGTGAGTTTGAAATTCTTAGATTAGTAATTAGCTAAAGAAAATCTCGTCTCTGTTCCCAATAAAAATCACCAAAAGAATAAGAGAGCTTACTATGCATTATAAAACACTATGTCTGGGACAGGATATACTGTCCCAATATCAACAGTCCATTCATGTTTGTAGTCTCTCCCAGGTCCCCTGGGAATCAGCTTTGGATAGGAAAAAGTCCAAATTTTGTCCTCAAGGAATTGCAGCACCAGACATCCCCCACAGGGTGTGTAGTGGGGAGTGATTTCTCACTTTCCCTCTCACAGTCTTTCTATGGTCAGTGGAGCCATTTCTATGGCAAATAGATAGATAAATATATAGATAGATAAATAAATAAGTAAATAATAGCTGCTCATGACTCAAGGTTGACTTTGGGATTAATATTATTTAAATGTGAATTGAGTATTGAGTTGGAAGCATGGGGGCACAGCAGTAACACAGGCTGACCCATATCCACATGGGAAAGTCTTCGTTTTGTGTCCATAGACTGTCCTGAACACACCAAGCATAAGCATGCCATGACCCAGGACTGGCTGAGCATGGGGGTTTATCATGGTGTGAAGACCAGTTAGAGGTCTCTCTCTGTCTCTCTCTCTCTGCTCCTTTACTCCCCAGAAGTCAGAATAATTGCTTAATTAATAGGACTAAGTACAAAATAGAGAGCAGAATTGACAGAGAATCTGGGCCAGCTAGGAGGTGGAGAGGCAGGGGCATAGTAGGACCAGTTTTCATTGCCAGCACAAGAGAGCTAAGCTGGGTACACACGGCCCCCTTCATGATGGTGAAGAGAACCTGCCAAAGAGAACTCTGGAAATCCACTTTCTTACTTTTCCCCTTATTGCCAGAGGGCATGGGCATTCCCCAGAGAGAGACAGAAAGCAGGGGAGAGGAAGAATGCATTCCCACAATGGTGCATGGTCACACAGCAGTTTCTACACTATTTCTCCATCCTGTCAGGATTTGGGGAACACACTCACATATGTGCAGCATGTTTTCAAAGCCACCAGGGTCAG